GGATTTTTTTTTTTTAGATAAATATTAATTAAAAATATGATAAAAAAATTAAAATGGATAAATTTATTAATAAAATTAAAAAATTCCAATTCGCTAGCAAGCCCTTAAACTTAACGAGCCTTAGAGTTACGTTAGCAAAACACCAAAATTGAAGGGAAGTTTCATATTTTTTTTTTTTAAAAAAAAATATTATCTAATGTAAGATTGTAAGATTGTAAGTTTACAATTTTAATATAATATTAAATAAGCGTAACGTATTATTAAATGAGTAAATAGTTATGATGCACTAAATACGCACTATTTTTAGGCAAGTGAATCGAATCAATTATACAGTATAAAATGAGTAAGATATCGTTCTTTCGAGAACTATCCTACACTACCAAGACAATATTAATCTAATCTAAGTTGAATTAACTAATTAATGGGATAAAACTAAACTATTTAAAAGAAAACTACTTAAACTAAAAAAATTAAACTAAAGGAATTAAACTAAAAAATTTTTCTAAGTTAAGAAACTATGAATGGAAAAGAACTAGGGCTTAGATTTCATTTAATTTTGAATCATGCAACTGTTTAATTAATTTAATTCAAGTTCAAATAATAGTATTATCACATGAGATGACAGATTCTCCTAAATTAATTAATCAACTTTCTCAAGTCAAGCTAATCTTTCATTAGTTTTAAGCAAACTAATGAGCATTAAATTTTATAGAAATCTCTAGTTTAAGACAGGGAGCTACGAACTCTCTTCCACTACCACATGTGAGTTAATTACCTCTCGAGGGCATGTTTGGTGGCAAAAACTTATTTTAGCCCTTCATCTTATCAAATTTAAAAATTTTAATCCCTTACTTTATATTATGATACTTTGAACCCTTCACCTTACTAAATTTATAGGTTTTAGCCTCTCACCTATTAAAATCGAATAAAATAACCTCATTTTATACTAATTATTAATTCTGTTAACTAAAAGTAGGTTTTTTGTCAATTAATGGTCAATTAATAATCAGTTAACAGACTTAAATAAATATTATAAAGTTAATTCTGTTAACTGAAAGAAAATTTTTGTAAGTTAATAGTCAACTAATAGTCAATTAATAGAGTTAATAATCAACTAATATAACTAATAAAATGTTATAAAGTAAGGGTTATTTTCTTCAATTTTAATAGGTGAATAAAAATGATAATTTTAGAATTTATTTT